TCCCTCCCTCCCTCCCTCCCTCTCTCCCTCCCGCCTGCCTGCCCACCTGCCTGCCTTCCTGCCTGCCTTCCTTTCCTTCCTGTACTGTAAGTCAAACTCAGGACCTTGTGATTTCCAGGAAGGTGCTGTGCTCTGAGTTGTATCTCTCAACCCTGCATTTTTTAAGGTACATACTTTTAATCAGATTCATGAAGAACCCAGAAGCCTGGCAAAGGGTGACAACTAAGCTTGGTTTCCCAGCTCCACTAAGTTTCTGATTCTAAACCCTATCCTATCTGTTACCTGCCAATAGGCTATGCTGAGAACTCCCTGAATTGCAGGAAACATAGCTGTCAACTAAGAATTCTCACCCTGCCTCTTTCTTCCAGCACAGGGGACCAGCATGTTCCAGGGAACTGGGCCTTCATGGACCAGTTGGCTGCCCTGTCCTGGGTCCAGGAGAACATCAAAGGCTTTGGTGGGGACCCAGGCTCTGTGACCATCTTTGGAGAGTCAGCAGGAGCCATAAGTGTTTCCAACCTTGTGAGTTACATGTATTATGACTTCAGTGAACCTGGTCGGGGAAGTCATAAAAGTGAGGATTATCAGTTATGTTTGATTGGTGGTTTCATGTCAGACAATTTTATACACACTGCCACCTAGGAGCCTTGCAGATACAATTGTGAGTTAGTCTCATTTTGTGGATGAGGCAACTGTCATTGGGAAAGTGTGCAATGAGTCTCACAATGTCATAATGGGTAATGATTTGAGGAAAAATATTCCTTATATTTGTAAAGTTGAAACTCTAGCATCCATTTACCAGGACTAGCAATGGTGTGTTTGCATTAATCAGCTTTTTTGAGGTATTTTTGAAAGAAGATGACTAAATCTTGTACTTTCAGAAGACTTCAATTCCACTCTGATCATGGCTTCACTCACTTGAGCATTAGTTAAATTTTCACTATCATAATGAAATGCCTGAGGCAGGTTAACCGCAAAATAAAAGGTTTATTTAGCTCATGGATTCAGATGCTCCAAGATAAAGTTTAGTCAGCAGCGTTGGTTTGGATCTGGTGAAGGCTGTGGATGGTATCACATCATGGCAGCATGTGTATAGGAGGAAGCATCACATGTTGAACCAGGAAGCTGAGGGAGGTGGGTGGAGTCAGGGTTGCTCATTTTAATCCCTTTGGAGGGCAAGACCCCCACTGGACTCTCATTAGGCTCCCCTTTTAAAGATTTCACACCATTTTCTAGGGCCATGGCCTTGAAGGTCAGGTCTCCACACTTGGATGCTTGAGAGACGTCCAAACTGCATCCAAACCTTTGTGCTATTTAATAGAAAGCCCAGGAAGACCATGAAATTACAAAAGATATATATATATATATATATATATATATATATATATATATATATATATAATTTTAACTTAAAACAACAAAATGGGCACCCCCTCACCTAAGGTTTCATGTGGAGTATTATTGTTAGTGTTGTTATGTTAACCGGAACTCCAACATAAATCTTTTTGAGTAAACACAGGCAGAATTCACTGCCTTTAAACCACTGTTTAATTTTCTTTACAATAAACATGAACTTTAATTAGTCAGATGACAGCTTATTTTGTATTTTTAGCCTTTCCTACCTAATATTTATTTTTCTCTCACCCACACCTAATTTGACAGCATTTATTTTTAGCCATTGGGCTATAGCAAGGTTTTAAACCCCTGGACACAATTTTGTTTTCTTTTTACCTAGTTAATCTATTGACTTCCTTCATCTTCCATGATCCATAATAAGCACAACTGACAAAATAAGTTTAGAAACAAACACATTTGACCTTTGGAAAGAAACTGGTAAGAACAGAAACATATGGAGATACTATAAAATTGCTCACTGGCTGTGCATGATTAGTTACAGAAATCAATCATATGGTATTGGGTTAAGGGCCCATCAGCTGTACAGCAGATGACATTATTTAAGGTACTTTTATAAATTCTATGACAGACTATATTAACCTAACCTTACATATATAATAACAACTATATGTTGTCAGTAAAGTTTGCCCAGAGACTGTATGCAGAAGAACATATTCATTGTTTCCTCTATTTCTCACTCCAGTTCCATTACACAGGCTCAATTTTTATTGAAGTTTATAGAGAAGTAAACTGATGGTTAAAAATGTTAGGTGATTTGCCTGTGATGACTCAGTAAGGAGGTGAAGGTGCTACAACTTACACAGCAAAATGTTTGGCTAAGGAGTTCACAGAGAGTCAAGGACTCAGACAGGCTAAATAACTTACCCACACCTTCACAGGTAGTCTTTGAATCCCTAAACTGGGACCTGTAACCCACTTCCAAGTTAGTACATTTTGGTAAGATTCCCTTAAAGAGGGGATGGGTGGTATGTGGGATGCATGGAGGTTTCTGAGACAACTTTCCTGGGTTTCTTGTGTTCTCTCTCCAGGTTCTGTCTCCCTTGGCCAAGAGCCTATTTCACAAAGCCATTATGGAGAGTGGGGTGGCCATCATGCCCAACCTGAGGAAACTTGATGAAAAGAGGAAGGATGTAGGTATATTCTTAATACATCTCCTTAATCAGGAGAGAATATGGTCAGGAATCTACAGAATGCATCTTTTCATAATGAATGACCTTTGCTTTCTTATTAGGCATGCCTATAACTCATGCTGGCTCAAAGGGACTCTTCCTCTATGGAAGGCCTCTTTCAGTAATAAATGGGTCCAATTGCACAATGCAACATCACTGCTATACTTAGTGTATTCAAATATGTGTTAGACTGCTTATACATTATGTATTATTTTTTGTATGCAATAACTCAGTTCTTATTGTGTGAAGTTCATCTGTGCTTACTTCACCTGGAGTGGTTATCTATGGTGGTATTTTATTATGGAAGAGACAAAGGATATTTCTTCTGTAATTGGAAATAACACTATGACTGGCTAATGATATCTGGCATGGGATTGTGAGGGGGATGGCGGGGCGTATGTATAACATATGTCATACATATTTGTCATCTGTCATGTTGTATTAACACTTTATTAGATAGTAAAGATCTGTAGACTAAAATTTCTTGGTCTTTTATGCCATCAGCATACTATCTGATATATATTAAGCAGCCACAGATGTGTGGTGAATAAATGAATGCGCTGATTCAGTCAAAGAATATTAATTAAGCACTAGGTAGTGGAAATATCTCCTAGGTATTAATCATTTTTTGGGTGAATTTTTCAGTCTCATCTCTTCTCTTTTCTCTTCTCTTCTCTTCTCTTCTCTTCTCTTCTCTTCTCTTCTCTTCTCTTCTCTTCTCT